ACAAGCTCAGAGTCCAAAGAGAACTTGAAACGGCAGTTTGGTCTCCTTTCTGATAAACCTGAGTGGGTTGGATGGGCATAAGGTCTGTGGAAGGTAGAGCAATGCAGGATTTCACCCCGAGGCCTGACTCTGCTGCAGTTCCTGGCATTCAATGCGGTGCTAAACTGGGTGTTTGGATGTATGCTGAGGACCTGGTGCACCTGGAGCAAAGGCCAGGATTTATATCCCTATTTTGTTGCTGCCTGAGAGGGAGGTCCCCAGGCCCTACCAGTCTCCCAGGCTCTTTCCGCAAAGATTTGAAACCTTCCAAGGATCATTCATCCCACCCAAAGAGAGGTGTCCAAAATAGGTAGCTCAATGGCCCGTGGAAAGTTCCTTCACTAGAGAGGGAATTTAGACCACTGGCTAGCACTTCATACTTAGCTTTGTAGTTAGATGCCACCGAAAACTTCATGTATTAAGGAAATCTAAGGCCATATTCTGACCAGTCACTGTGCATGTTTCATTCAAACAGTGATGGATGCTCTTCATTGAGAAGAAGCAACCCTGAAGCCCTAGATGATGAGCGGCTGATCCAGAGTCATGGAGATGCTTGCATTAGGTGGTCTGAGCATCTCAATGATGTTCCTTGGGCAAAATTTGGTTAGCCTTGAAGTCAGGGGCTAAATTCCCATTGAATTCAAGGTGAAATGGTGGCAAGTGTGCTGCCTCTTTGAATGTGAAGCTTTGGGCCAGAAAATAATTGGGAGAATTGTTTGGCATGGTCTTTTCTTATGTACAGTGGGATTGGTGTGTTGGGCTATCGGTAACTGTCTACGTGCCTTCCTGACATGTTCTGCCTGCTGTGACACGTCATCTTCACGGCTGTTGCTATGTCCTGCGATAGGAAAGGACGTTACTGAGGAGTGTGAAGATGGATGAAGCATCTAAATGCCAAGGAATCACACCAAGTCTTGGAAGCTCAGGCTTCTCTGGCCAGTTGTCCCTTGTGCGACGGGGTGGGAAGAGCTGTGAGCGGCACTCCTCTCCACCAGCTCAACGCAAGCCTTTCACCGAGCTGCTCTGGAGACAGAGCTGAGCTTTGCACTCGAGCGGTGCTGCAGGGGCTTCTGAGCACTCAGAAAAGCAATGGTCAATATGGACAGGTCAGCGTCTCCATGGAGCATGCACATCAAAAAATGCACTACATTCGCAAAGATTTCCACAGTTTTACTTCCTGGAGGATTTCCCTGGTTTCCTCCTAAACATCGGAGGTTTAAATATATATATTTCTATATATGAATATATATTTTCCACATACACAACCTGACTAGCTCATAGCACACAGTTCTAACACAGCTAAGCTTGGAAATACACCACTGAATTCAGAACACTACACTTACTTATACTCAAAGCTTTAGGCTGTTAGCGCAAGGCAAACAGGACACATCACACAATACACTGAACTCGGCATTTATTCATTACTAAGGCCAGCAAATGTCACTATCTGTATACCACAGAGCTTTCCTCCTCTTTGGAAACTTTCTCTCAGCCTTGTAGCCCACCACTCATTTATGTTTCCAAAAGACCCCAATTCTAATGGGGTGAGACCCCAAAACCGGGACTCCTCACCCTCCCGGCCCATCCCTTTTTGTGTTAGACAGTTTCACATCTCTAAAATATCCTAGCAGCAAGACTTTCCTCAAACACCTCTACAGCAACACAGTTCTGATACTCTCCTCTTACACCACCTCCCTACCCTACTTCACATCTCTCTCTTCGTTCTTCCCAATTGCCTGTTGTCTGAAAGTTTCACGCTGGACTGCGTGTTAGGATAGAAATATTGAGCCGCAAAAATAAAGAAGAACCCTGCATCTTGACTTGCAGCTACTCTGCTACAGGAGCATTTAACAGCTCAGTTTGGTGGGATCAAGATTAATCCTTACGTATTTAGGACCCAATCCAGGAGTTAGGCACGTAAATTCGGATTGGGACCATACGTCTCCCAGCTCCCATTGACTCAATGACCCAAATTTTGGGGTATGCGACGCCAGTCTGCTGGGCCAGTCCATACTTGCTGACAAATGGTCCCACCGCGTTTACAGCTTCCAAACTGGTCTTGCTGGGCATAGGGATTTCCTAGAGTAAGCGCACAGTAAATAGGACTGAAACCCTGAGATCTTGCCTGGAGGGAGCCTGGGGATCCCAGCAACTGGTTTATGGCCCTCTTAGGATGCTTACGAGCCAACATGGACTCCAACAGCTGGTAGAGTCAAAACAACGGGGGCTGACAGCTCTAGCCAACCTTGGTGACATATTTCTTTCTACCCCTTGGAAGGCCACGTCTGCAAACTAAACCTCTTTCTGAAATCTAGCTCTGTCTACTGACACCCCAGAAGTGAAGAAAGCAGACCAAGATGCAAAACAAACCAAGAGTAACTAAAAAGATCCATAACCTAGGGAAAACAATAGGGAAGAACAGCCTGCTGATAACCTAGTCTGACCTGCCACATGCTTGGGAAGTCTTCACTGCTCTCTGCGCCTTCCCTCACTCTTTTTTTTTTTTAATAAAGTCTTTTGAGTGGTGTTGATGGGTGAAGCTGCCTTGATGCAGCTAGAACTATCCCCCAGCTACCCTGGGGGAAGATTTGGCCCCTTAATTGCACGGGATCTCCTCCCCTGTTGCTTCTTGGAGCAGAATTCCCACCGGTGTCACCAGGGGAAATCACTCTTGGCCACACCACTGATTCTAGCGGATTTATGGCAGATCCATGGCACCACGAATGAACCTCTGATCCTCTCTGCCTCCAAAACCTTTCACCTGCTGACACCAGTGGGAGATGACCAAACAACAGCCAACTCCAGAAGGGCCTCATGGGATCAGAGCGCAGCCCCTCCATGGCTCGACGGGCACTTCCACACCGTCAAAGCGTTGAAGGACCAAGCCCAAGGAAAGGGACAGGCTGTTGGACGCAATCACGGTTGATCCATCACCTTCATCTCCTACGACCCCACTTGTGCATTCCCACGTCCCTCACTCTGTGCAGAGCCGTGTTGTGCAGGCAAAGCAGAACAACCTGACTTCAGAAACAAGGATTCCCTAATCCTCCTTGGAAATAAAACAGAAAAGCTTCTAATACAATCAGAACAAAAAGCAGATTAGAAGCCTCTAATTAATTTTGTGGCCTTTATTTAATCAAAGAAAAAAAAAAAGGAAAGAAAGAAAGAAAGAAAAGGAAAAAAAAGGAGAAAGAAAGGAAAGTGCAGTGACATTTACTCTTTTGCCTCAGCCAGTTTATTGTTCATCTCTTTACTTTTCTCCTTGTCCTCTGGCTTTGCTGTGTTGGAGGTCTCGGCGCTCTTTTTCTTGGCAGCCCGGCCAGATGCAATCTGCTTGTCTTTGGCCTTTTTCAGGGGTTTATGGCTTGTTGTGGTCTTTTTTGGTTTGGAAGGCTTTACGCTAGGCTTTTCCACCTGCATGGAGGGCGACATGCAAAACGACAACACAGACATGGAGAGAGAGAGAGAAGGAGAGACACAAGGACAGGTGGAAAACAGGATTTAGATCAGAAACGGCATGAATGTTACTTATCTACTCAGCTATGCCCTGCCCTCTGATTTCAAGAGGGGTTTTGCAAGCCCAGAGGGGATTGTCTCTCTCTGGATTCGAAGCAGAGAAATGATGCTCAGGACAACGAGGCTGGTACAAATCCCCACCTTTCTTGCAGGACGTGACTCCTCAGTCTGCTTGTCCCTAATAGATCGCTACAATAGATTGCTTGGGGTAGCCGGGGTGCAGGACACCGAATTGCACCTGAGCAAAGTCCACAACAGTGTCTTGCATCCACTTGTTTCTACAGCTCCCAAAGTAGCGAGGACAGCTTCAAAATTAAGGAGGAACAGAAGCCTTCAGCTCCTCCATGCTGGCCCTGCCATCCCTCTGAGACCTCACAAATCTAAGCACCCACAAACTCTGGGAAGGACTAAAACTGCACAGACCGACTCCATGTATAGGCAGGTCCTCCGCTGCTCCTAGAAAACAGGGCTGGAAGACATTTCAGCCCAGGCCCTTCTCGACACATGTCCTCCATCGTCTGATCAAAGCCAAAAGTGCTTACTGTCAAAATCTGTGGAGCGCAGTGGATTAATTGCAGATGAAGATCTGGCTCTTACCAAGTTGTTCCTGGGATAAAGTGTAATGTGGCGTGCCTATCGTTTTGGAGGGAGAAAGAGAAAGCTGTCTAGATAATCACCTGGGAAATGACAACGCAAAAACCTCTTCATCTGGGCCCTACCCTCACTTCTTTACAGTTTGGCACAGGGCAGCATTGTGTCCAAATTGCATCAACCTGTATTAGAGCCCACAGAATCACAGAATGTTTTGGGTTGGAAGGGACCTTAAAGATCATCTAATTCCACCCCCTCTGCCATGGGCATCTAGTGGATACCTTCCACTAGATCAGGTTGCTCAAAGCCCCATCCAACCTGGCCTTGAACGCTGGAGGGGGCATCCACCACCTCTCCGGGCAACCTGTGCCAGTGCCTCACCACCCTCACAGTAAAGAATTTCTTCCTTATGTCCAATCTAAATCTACCCTCTTTCATTTTAAAACCGTTACGCCTCGTCCTATCACTACACTCCCTGATAAAGAGTCCCTCCCCGTCTTTCCTGTAAGCCCCCTTTAAGTACTGACAGGCTGCAAGAAGGTCTCCCCGGAGCCTTCTCTTCTCCAGGCTGAACAACCCCAACTCTCTCAGCCTTTCTCCATAGCAGAGGTGGTCCATCCCCCTGATCATTTTCGTGACCCTCCTCTGGACCCGCTCCAACAGGTCCGTGTCTTTCTTATGCTGAGGACCCCAGAGCTGGACGCAGTGCTCCAGGGGGGTCTCACCACAGCAGAGGAGAGGGGCAGAATCCCCTCCCTCGACCTGCTGGCCACGCTGCTTTGGATGCAGCCCAGGATACGGCTGGCTTTTTGGGGTGCAAGCGCACACTGCTGGCTCATATTCAGTTTTTCATCCACCACCATCTCCAAGATGGATCCCCAGATGCACCCGCTGGTCAGAAATGAAGATTCCCCATAAGGGGAACGACAGCAAGCAGCGTTCAGCCCAGCCTTACTCTGTTGGACACGTCCTGCCAGGAGCAGTGATGGCCCTAGGTCTCTTCCACCGTGTTTCTCACCTTTGGCGGTTCTTTGTAGGGTTCGCTGTAGAGAGTGCGTATCCTTCTGCGCTCCAGGAATTTGTTATCGGCTGGAGCTGGCTTACTGGTTTCCCCCTTGAATTGAGCGCTGTAACTGGTTTCGTGGGTCATTTTCTCCTCTGGCGGCTTGTACTGGGCCTTTGCTTTTATAGCTTTCACAGGCTTGACATCTACCCAGGGTCTGAACTCGTTTCTGAAGATCAAAAAAGAAAGGCGTTCAGGAATTAAACCAATAGGAGAGTAATGGTAATGTGGGAACGAAATCCCTCATAGCTCAGCAAGGTCTACTTGGAAGGGCTTTTGCCTCCATCCAGTCAGGTTTACAAAGAAACTGACTCCCAACAGATCATTTTTGACCGCATCTAAAACCCATTGACACATCAGGAGAAGTTCAAATGAAATTCGGTTTACTAAAATCAGGCAGTCCTGGGCACCAGACAACTTGCCACTTGTGTGACAATGGTCAGGTGCCCTCTGAAAAGCTGGCTTCAGATGTGACTGTGATCCTTTTTTTGAAAACATAGATGCTTTTTTGTCTCTACAGCTTCATCTCTGCACTGAAGCTACCTGCAAGCAGTTCCTGACTCTTGCAGTTAGGGTGGAAAAGAATATTTAGAAAGGAACGTCAAAATTCATATTCTGCAACTCAACACAGGACACGCACTTCTCAGCAAATCTCCCTGCTAGCTGGGTGTTTCAGAAATCTAAGGAGCCAAGATTTTCTACAGCCACCCCTTACCCATGCCTGTAAGTAGTGAATTGTACCATTTTGCCTATATTGCACCAAATTATGCACAACAGCTTTTGTTAATTCCATAAAGGAATAGTTTAAGATAAAGCTGTCTTGAGATGTAAACTCAAGCAGAGTAGGAAATGCACGGTTTATCAGGTATTGTGAGCTATGGCTTCTCTTTATTGGCTGATGGTGAATTCCCGAGTTACTGGAAAAAATAACATCATCTTCCATTTCTTTTGGACAGAGCTGTGACTTTTTGGAGAAAAAACCCAAACCCAAACACATTTCAAAGATTTTTAGCATCTGCTGGACATGTTCTGGTTCCCATCCACAGCCTCCTTCTCGTGCATTTTTTAGTTCTTCCCAATGCAGCACCAACATCTTTCTAGTTTGGAAGCAAACCATTTCATTTTCTCTTTAAAAATTGCCATTCATCTGAGAATGGGGATGGAGAAACAGCAAGTGTGTTGCTACCTTAGATGGTCATGCTCAGACATAGTCCCAGGCAGTGTTTAGTCCTTAAGGCTCCAGTGCCAGCCAGGAGCTATCCTAACGGTGGTGATACAAGCCCTCCACAAAGGGGTGAATTTTCCTTGGAAATCAAAGCCCTTGTCTTAATTTCGGCACCTCTGAGGCAATGGGACCTCTAAGTTGCAGACCCTGCCCCTCCTGTCCTGTTCCACTCAACCGCCTTTGGGTTGTGTTACTCGTTTTCAGCCTGGTTTGTTAAGGAGATGAACTCCGTGTGAGGGTACTGCCAGTCAATCCCTTCCCATAATAGCTTTGAACATCTTAATCAGCTTCAACCAAATTTGACAAATGGTCATGGAGATATTCAGCTTCTACTTTTCTGAAGATAAGCAGTTGGACTGAGTCCAGAGGCTCGGGAAAGCTTCAGTATGGACATGCCCACTTCATCGGTCATCAGAGGACCCGCTTAGACAGGGAGGCTAGGCTGCAGAAGTGCATCTGTTGTCCTCAGGGACGAGTACTAAACGATCCCTTCACCTGCAGGATCAGTGCAGCTCCCTGCCCGCCCAGTACTACATTTCCCATTCACATAAACCCACCGCAAAGACGGAAAAAAACCTTTCTCTTCCAAGATGACTGCTGGTTGCAACAGTCTCCTGGGTGTGTTTCTCCTCCTAAGACACCTATGTTAAGGTCTCACCACATCTGCAGGGTGACTGTGTCCTTGTGGTAGTCAATGCGGACTGGCCAACACAGTCAGTGGAGCTTGGAGAGCCCTTCCCTATGCCAAAGATGGGTGACTGCTTTAGGATGAGCTGAATGCCTCTGGGCTCTGTTAACTGACTAGATGTCCACTGATGGGAATACAAACATCTAGCACATGTGAAGACACTCACACATACACCCTTAAATGTAGGTATCTTAATCTATAAGCCAAATCCCATCTCCAACTCTCCATCCTTTCTTAGCGTTGATTCTACCTACATCTATTTTTTATTTTCCCTGTATTTCTTCATTTCCCTCCCCCTCTTTTACTATTCAGCCCTTCTTGGGCTTGGATAATACTGCCAAAGGCCCAGGGACACTGCCTGTTTGAAGGATGCTGTTCTTCATGAAACTGTTCCACTGAACGAGCAATAACATGAATGGGCTCAGCTGTGTCCCCTTCTTTCCTGTTCAGTGAATGTCACCCATTTGCCCACAGGTATTTCTCTGCAGTCCATTGTTAAAATATCCCTCCTGCATGAAGAGTTGAGAGAAAGGAAGAGGAAACATCTTTAAAGAACTGGATTAAAGACGTGAATACATTGCTGGCAAACTCAAAGTTCATCCTAAGCTCCTCAGAAGATAAGAGGCTTCTTCCTAGGATCCACTTTTGTTCCAAAGTAGACTATATATTTTCAACTGCTTTCCAAAAGGAAATAAAATCATGCACTACTTCTCTCTGCCCATGTCTATCTGTCACTCAGATTCCGTCCTAGCAACTTCTGCATCGTTAGCTATTTTCTGTCGTATTTGTGGCAGGGGTAGAAATCTCAGAGGTGAAAATCACAACACCTTTCCTCCAAATCAGTGAGTGGGCACAGGAGGAGCATCCAAACGGTGTTCTTCAGCTGAGGGAAAGACAGGTAAAATTCATTTTCTCACTCATTCTAAGGCCAGCTGGACAACCAGCCCACACGGACCACCAGCAACCTAAGCACAGCTTGCATCTACAGAACCAGAGACAAAGGATGGAGGCTGTAGTACCGTGCACGTAGGGGCTGGACTTTAAAGACGGAACATAAACCAGGACTTATTCATTCTGCTGCTCATAAAATGCTGGTTTATATGGAGGTGAGCTTTGAAGCAGCGTGATCGTATTTGTTACCATAGTGCCTGGCAACCTCATTATGCACCGCATTATGCAAACCTACAGAAAGAGACGGGCTGCTCCCTGAAAAGCCTGTGATCTCTGTAGACAAGGCAGACACACGAGGTGGGGAAAAGGGAGGAAAAAAGCCTCGTGCTACCTGTGGGCTGGCAGGGAATGCATTTCTGCACTCCCATGGGCTGGTTGCTGAAACGCTAAAGCAAGAGATCATGCAACAGAGCTGGGCTGTTAATGCAACAACTGATCTCATCTGACTTAAAAATGAGCATGAATTCCTCTGCTCTTCTCCTTCCTTGCTTTGCTGGTCTTAATGCAGATGTAACAATTCTGTGAGTACTCAGCTCCGCTGTACTTGGCGACAGGACCCTTGACTACCCTGCACCTCCCAAGATGAGCCTGGCTTTGCAAGCAAAGGATAGACCAATAGCCATTCTTAGGTGGATGCATGCTGATGCAGTATGTCCACCAGCTCTGAAATAGCTCAGCCACGATCTTCTCTGGAAGTGGAGGATAGAAGGCTATTGATCCTGAAATATTTTACAGTGTTGACAAAGAAGTTGTAAATACCAGGTATGTCACACAGATTCAGTGCACATCTAGAAATAACAGGTTGCCCAGAGAGGTGGTGGATGCCCCATCCCTGGAAACATTCCAGGTCAGGCTGGACGGGGCTGTGAGCAACCTGCTCTAGTTGAAGATGTCCCTGCCCATGGCAGGGGGGTTGGACTAGATGACCTTTAGAGGTCCCTTCCAACCCAAACCATTCTATGATTCTATGGCTCTATTCTAAATCCTTTTCAGGCGAATTATGCATGATTTCACATCACCAGCTATTACACTAGAGCCGGTCCCTTCAAGCACGTGAGAGAGCATGGGCCACGTTCATATGGAGACCTACCACACCTGGGATGGACCAGCTACTCCCTGCTGTGACCACGCTCAAGCACCCAGCGTGCCCAGTTCTGCATATCTGCTCTCCAGAGCTTGCAGAGGCAGTGGAAGGAGGAGAGGAACAGACCATTTACTACAGCTATGTCTGGTGCAGCAAGCTGATCTCAGTGCCTATTTTTGATATTCAGGCAACACATAAACTGCAAAAAAGTGTTACTAGAATAGACACAGGCTATTCTGTGCTGGTTGCGTCAGTGCCCAGAAACTCAACTTACCACGGTTAATTAGCACAAAAGTACTAATTCCTAAATCTTTCTGTCTCCACCACAGATGAGTGAGGCAAAACAACCCGTTGGGAACTGCCCTTGGAATATGCCAGCTCCTGAACCCAGCCCAACAATTGCTTGGAAAAGTACTAGTTACCCTGGGCCAAAAACGTAGGCAGGAGTGCGCTAGCAACTTCACAGCCTGGATCACCACGTTTGAGTGCCAGACGCATTGAATTTACTAATGCAAAGGTACGAACGAGGAGACAGGTGCCCTACTTGGGGTCTGCGTCTCTATTGATTGTAGGGTTGGGGGAACGTCTCAGGAAGGTGTCATAAATCCCCCTTCTAGGTCTGGTGACTCTCCATCAAACGTCTGTCTGATACGGTCCTATGTCACCATGAGCTCATGTTGTCCAAACGGTGCACGGCACGGCTACAACCTCTTAGGGCAGGAAGACGGAACTGGCCTGATGCTCCAGGATATTAATGTCACCCAGAGATGCTGCTTTATAAATTTATACACTCCTTATGTGCAGCAAAGAAGTGAGGCGAAAAGCAGCAGCTTTAAGAGTTGATTTTTTTTGGCATTCTGGGACTAGGAAAAATATCTGTTCTCTAAGGTATCAGCTCGGTTGCTCCTGTAACACTAAAACTAACCCTGGCTTGGGGAAAGCCCCTGCAGTTCTGAGACCTCCCTCACTACTATTTAACAGCCCAAGGCCAATTTGTGGGAAAGGTGCCCAAAAGTTACAGATTCTGGCTGCAATCTGAAAGGAGCCCTGAAAATGTTATTTCTCCCTGTTCTGAGAACAACAGGTCATAGCGGTGTCTGGACCACCGCAGACCACTCCACAGAAAATTAGCTCTGAAAGTATTTCAGGAGCGTGCTAGACCCCATCCTAAAAGAGCTCAGCCTCAAAGCTCCCGTTAAACCTGAGCAAAAGCCTTTGCTC